CCGCCTCCCGCGGGGCTTCGGGCGCTCGGTCTGCTGTGCCCCCCTCCCCGCACCCCAGCCGACCGGGCGGGCTGTGGGGCGAGGGCCGCGGTGGGGAGGGGCGCAGAGATGACCCCCTTCGGGTTTGTCCGGCTTATCTCACGCGGGTGCGTGTGAAGCGCTGATGTCGGACGAGAGCCGAGCTTTTTTCTTACGTCTTAGGCTGGGAGGTTTGTAAAAGTGAGGACCGTAAACAGCCAACGTGCGTATTTCCATCATAAACCAGAAAGAGAAAAATACCTGCCAGGGCTTCCCACTAAACGCCGTGCGGGCTGCTTTACCAGGGTAGTTAAAAATCTAGTTTGCTTTTGTTCGAAGAAGCCCGAAGCAGTAACAAAACCCGGCTTTCCAACGTGACATCGTAACAAAAAAGGACAGTCAGGGCAACGCTAAATCGCTTTAGTGCAATATCAGAGCATCCGAGAAGGCTCCAAACTCTGCTCAGAGCTCTCTGTTCTCGCTCACTCAAAATATTCACTTTTGTTCTCCAGCTGCCTATAAAACTCCAGAAGAGGAGCGCTCTCATTTTTACACTGGAGTTCTCGGTCCGGAGAGAACAATATCCTCCTACCTCTTTTGAAATGATACGGAGACTCTCACAACGCACAGGCGATCACTCGAAGCACGAGTCTCCCCCGTTTTTTTTTTTTTTCTTCTTTTTTTTGCAAGAGCTGCTCGGCCCATTGTTTGAAGTGGGATTCAGCGCGCAGCCCAAAGAGAAAAAGAAAAAAAAAAAAATCTTAGGAGCCCGGTTTGGTATTGCATAGAGAAAGACCTGACAAAATATTACAGCGTGTTTCCTAGAAGTACGTGATGGAGAGCCGGAGGTGTGCTCCCGAAAGAGAGGTGTGGGGGTTTTTTTTTCCCCCTAAAAGATTGTGATCGCCTTTGTACGTTTTTCTTTTGATCCCACAAAGAGAATGCAATATAGATATACGTGTTTGCTCTCCATACAAGAAATGCAAGGGACCGTACAATGGAATATACGGCCGGTTAGTCCTCATAATGCTTAGTTTTGCTGTAATTAATTGAAAACAGTTATTAGGTCGTCATTGGCAATAGCGTAAATAATTGCAGCAGATTTTTACTTAAAATTGACCGGTCACAGAGTGATAGATCGATTCGAGGTATAAAAATGATGTATCAAAACATCAATGTCGATTATTTGAAATATTGTAGTCGAATCTTTTTATTGCTTCATCGGTTAAGTGTCTGAAAGTGCTGTGTTCCAACATATATTTATGTTGTCAATACTGTCAAAACTGTCAGTTTTATTACAGTGGATTTGTAATACATTTCGGATTTGCTCATTTACATAGAATGTCCACCCCAGATACCCCTCCTTTTCCCCATCTCTGGAAATCTATGTCAGTTTAATGAAAGGATTCGGGACTCATAGCTGAAGCACAAAAAAAGTGGAGATATTGCTCCATTAAGTCCAATTTAAACATCCCTTTGGAAAGCTTGGGCTATTTCTAACTTGCCATAAGAGGG